CAAATAGTATTAATATTCCATCCTTGAAATTCATAGTCTGATTAATCTTTTAGAAAAATATTGAGCCTTTATTTAGACCTGCAGTTCTTTATTAGAAATTTTATTTTATAAATCTGATACATTATTCTACATTCCTAAGAATTTTAATGCTAAATTTTTATTTACTGTAAACCAAATATTGTAAATACCAGAAACAAAGCTTAAAACTAATATGTCAACTTAAAAGAAATTTTCAATAACATCTAGATTCATTAGGATGACTATGGGATATCCATATATACACACAATTCAATTAATTAACCTTTTTTTTTTATACAAATGTAAAGAAGTGTCACGAACACTTATTCAGGCTTTGCAAAACTGACATTTTACACATTTATTAAGTCCAGATGGCTACCTTCAAAATGCACTTAATATTTAGATTAGTAAACACTTTTGAGTAATTTCATCTCAATGTGAGAAAGTCTAAAGCAGATGAATTATGTCAAAAGCGTTGAATAAGGCGCTCCTTAATCTATCAGCTGAAACTGGAAAGTATAAAACAAAATTACAAATTTAGCAAGAAATGATTACCTAAGCCAGCAGATTAAAGAAATAATTTATCAATCAGAGAAGCAGCCAAAAGACACCATGGTGTGGCAAGACAAAAACAGTAAAGTTAGGAGTTGCTTAAAAGCAGTTTAGGAGAGATGGCAAACATGTCGAAGAAGAAACTCTGGTTAGATGAGACCAAAAATAAACTTTCTGGTAAGTGTAAGGGGGAAAAAAAAGAGCACATATTCCAACAATGTTAGGTGTTAGTGCCAGTAAAAAAAAAAAAAAAAAGTTTACAAAAGAATTGAGACAGAGTGATATTTCACAAAAAAACTAAACCAGCTGCAGGAAACATTCCTCAATGTTGGAGCAACACAAGATAACTAAATAAAAAATCTAACAAAACCTTCAACCTTTTAATGTAGGTCACTGTTAAAAAAAGATTATAAAAGAAAAATCTGACATTTCACAATGCGCTTTCACATTAGAATGTAGCCACATAACAGTGAGAATAACATTCATACCACTAGAGGGCGGCAAAGTTACCAAAATAATCTAAAGTGAAGTAAACTAAAACATTTTATATGGAAGGAGAAAAAAAAAATAATGAAAAAACGAAAGTTTTGAGAGTTAATTTTACTACGCAAAAGTGAAACAGAATTTGTATTTTATAGATATATATACACAGTTTACAGGTACACCATGCAAATTATGAAAAAAGTAGACTTAAAAGTACAATAGTTAAGCATTAAAAAGGTATTACTACCCATCTGCAACATACATTTACAGAAAACCTAACAGAAACAAATCTTTTTATTTGCCACCATTTCTTAAAAATATTTAAAACAGTTATACATACTTTAAGGTTTAAAACATTTATATATATATATTAAAAAAATGTCTCAACCTGTATTACTTACACAAGTTTAAAATTAAAGCTTTTCCCTCTTCTAATGTCTATATGAATGACAACATTTTTACTAAGTTCTTTTAGATAAAAAGATTAAGAGTTATCACCGTACTAACTAAATCTCCATACTCACATTTTTGTCACAGTTGTTTTATATCTCAAACCAAACATCTACCTGATAACTGATTTTAAATTTCTGACTGGATCAAAACATACAGTTTCATTTGACATAACAGAGCAACAACATATTGTGTTTAGAGGCATTTTATTCAAATAATAAATAAAACTGAAATGCGGTCCTCTACTTGACACAAGTTACATTTAAAAAATGGTTACCTTTGGTCAGAGGTGTTAAATATTAGCCAATCGGGAGCTTTGTGGATAAAGAGGTCTGTCAGAAACTTTTTCATTTCCGGAGTGCCTCTGCCTCCATCATCCTGCTCAACTGGCACATCTACCTACTTCATGGAGCTCTTACAGGCTCTCAGAAATATTACCAGCAGTCCTCTAAATCCATTAGAAAATTTCATAGATTTTAATCAGCCATTGACCAAACGGGAAAGAAGAATGAGCCATTACTGTAATTCAGGCAGCTTGTTCTCGTACCCTGGGGGTGGAGTGATGGGTTCAATGGTCACTGGGTTCTGTGTGGGGGTGCGGATCTGGAGGCGAAAGTCTTTCAGGTGCAGTTTGTCTGACTTTATCCTTCTTACTCTGAGGGGCTTCAGCAGTCGGCTGGCCCGGCTGGCGCTGCGTGTCGGCAGGCTGGGTTGTGATGTGAGGCCGGAGGGCTCTGCAGGGGGCTGAGCACCAGCTGGGGCTTGGTCATTCAGAGGGCTGTTCTCCGTGGAGTTGTTAGCAGGCTGTGATCCCTCATTTTCTACAGCTGCAAGGATGTCCTCATAGGACGGTAGCTGTGAGGTGCTCTGCCTCAGGTTGCTCTGGCGAACGGGGTAGTTGCCACTGGCAACAACCTCCTCATAACTTGGCACGTTATACGCCTCTGGGTCTACAGTCCTAGAAAAGGATGACATAGGTGAGCCTCAATCAGAGTGGTCTATAAGAATAAACAGATCAATAAACAGCCAACATTACTCATTTACAAACATCACAGTTTAAACGTACATCATGAAAACATTTGCTAGATCTCACCTCTGGTTTTACTGGACTTTAAAAAAAAATAATGGCAACAAAATTACTGCAGAGATTAAGATTTAAGAACTGATATCAACCTAACCTTTTACATAATTATCTTGATAACAAACACTACTTTCATCAAAAGCAGCATTCCGTTTGACTTTTTCAGTTTACTGTTTTAATATGATGATGCACACAGAAGTGAGTACTTGATTGCATAACCATTGATTTTTGAAAGCAAGGGTGACTCAATTCTTTTTTCCTCTGTTTTACTACCAAGAATCCAGAACCTAGCCTCTATGCTTCTTTAATCCGTATAGAAAGTCTTACATTTTCTTTTAGAGATCAGAGGCCTTTTTCCATTATTTTCAGATAGTATGTGAAGATTACCAGAGTAATTTCACCGTGAACTAGTGCTGTACACATGGACAACAACAATGTACAAACTTAAAGCTGCTGCACTGCTTACTACAGAAACAGCGTTTGTTAGACAAGAACATTCTCCCCAAGTGATTAAAATGTAGATATACTTTGAAGTCAAAAGCAGGTAAAAGCAATTCAAGGGTTGTAATTATACTTTTTTTTTTCCCGAGCATAATTTGAAAAATACAGTAAACGAGACACCAAAGTTCCAATCCCAGATGTTTAATCAAGCAATACCAGTTTGACGCATTATTTAGAGCAGTGTCATGCTATAATGACAGCCATAACATGGCAGGGAAACTGACTGAATATCGGTCAGGTGAGTAAAAATTCCTGTAGAAATAGTGATATAAAAAGGAGCATCACTTAACTGAACTGGTATTTCAGCACCTTCTAATTTAGGCCTCAATTTTAAGCGGTTTCTGGGCTTTTTCTGAACACTCAAGAGCTTGAGAGATCTTGATTTGGACAGAAAACAATGATCTTAAGGATCCAAACACATATTCGGAAAGGATAAAGAACATTGACATATTATTGTGGGCATGCTCTAAATTGATACCAGTAAACATAGCCCGCTTATCATTCAACTGATTTTAGTTTGTGCACAAAAGTTGGAGATAATCCACAATGTATCGCATATTGAAATACATCTCGCATCCCACAAGTTTGTTAGTGGATGCATTTTAAAGTGCATGCCTTCAAATTTTTGAAGATAAATATCTCAATTAACTGTTACACAACTTGAAGCATTGACAGGTAAAACACTGACATATATATTTTTTTTCTGAAAATGAAAAAAAGCAATTTTTTAAAATACAGCTGGTTTGGCAGGATACAGGTTCAGTTTACTACACTTGTTGCTCCTGGTAATGACAACGTGGGAAACTTTATGTCAAAAGAACAGGTATGTTGATGCTATAGGTCTTTATGAAAAAATGGTTTCCTTTGGTTCATTGTGACAAATGTGTGTCCAGGTGTGCCAAATTATTTTTTCTACCATTTATTTGACCATGAAAAAGCACATTTTCTTATATTATAGGCTACAAATTTTCATTTAAGCAAAATTTTTTTATAAAGGGGACAAAGGCAAGTGTGCCGTATCCCACAGTGTAAGCTGATATCTCTCAATCTATTGGCTCTCTCATCTTACGCATGAAAACAGACCAGGAAGGATTGCTGACCACCCATTAAAACAATGGGTGAGACATCAGAACGTAAGGTGGTTGAGAAGAAAAGTGGGCATGTACAAAATGGACTGTTAAGGTGCATTCACACCGAAAGTGGTGTCTGCGGTAGTGGGGAGTGGATTTCAAATTATCCCTATATAAACTGGACCTGCAAGAGCGGTGAAGCCGCCATTGGTGAGCTCCATGCGGTGAGAGTGGTCAATGACAAAGAAAGGCAGCATAGACAGAGGTTTTCTTTAGTCAGAATGGAATACATAGAAAATGCTGACAAAGGTTGAAATAAGGAATGATTTTAACAGATTTTTATGTGGCTTTCACAAAAGACGACTTAATTTGGCCCTAGAGTAACTGTTCATTGCGCTCCCTTATTTCTAGCACAGTCCCTGGCCTGTCGCTGCCTTTCCCCAGCATTGGTCCTCTTTGTCTAGCTATATACAAGGAAGTACCCCTGAATGCAACCTTTATCCGGACGCAGCTCTGGATGAACCAAAGTCAACTACTTTTTCAGATTTTCCAATAATTTATGATCTTCCCAAGTCGATTCAGAAGTTATTCGTCAAGAAAAAAATATCAGCAGTGTGTAATTTTACTTTTCCTCTATATGAAATGCAACATTAAATTTCCCCTATTGTGAAGCGATCTTGACAGGAAATGCTATGGGGTTGCCAAGGGTAATGGCAGATCCAAATTGAAGGATCCAGGAGGCTGATGAACTTCTAAGTCTTGTGAACAATCATTCCATCCAATAAATAAGGTTAACTGTTATATTCAGTGACGGCACAAGAATATCATATATTATACAATAATTGTATATTTGGAAATGAGTGCAGCACTAACCTCTGGTCCGATTGTGACATCATGAACAAGATTAGAAATAATTATAAACCAAGCCAGCAGAAACAAAAGTTTTACCTACACAAATCTGCACGAAAGTAGGACTAAAGGTGTAGACCACTTTGGATAAAACTTGGGCTTAATGTGATTGCTGCTAATTTGTCTTGAACTATCTAAGATCCGAGTGTAGCTATTGCTATTGAAAAGTATGCCGACACTAGATCGGGTTCAGTCGCTCCGTCCCCCGCTGTGAAATTAAGCGAAACTTAATATTAAATTGGTAAAATCAAAGGCCAACTTCAAGTGGAGATAAATATACACATATACATATACATACGACGAGAATTTGGCCCAGGTTAGAGATTTTTTTTTCTTTTTTTCATTTTTTTATTTTAAAAATATCGTAACATTGTGTCGTAACATTACGAGAATGAAGCTTTAGGCTCTGACCGGCGCCACCAAACAGCAACTTGTGTCCACTTTGACATACTACCCAATTTGATGCTGGTGTGCAAAAAAGATCATCTTATTTGTCAAACCAGAGCTAAGGTACAACTTCACATAATGCTGGCCATTCCTCATTTTAGTGAAGAAAGTGCTTTTTGTAAAGGGCTGGTTATACTCCTGCAGCAGTTGCAGGTATGACGCAGACAGTTTGGATTTATGCTCAATATTGAAGCGTGGTCTGCGCTATTTTATTCCACACCACAACGCAAAAGGGGAAAATCACAAACTAGCTGTGGGTCTAGATACAGCCAAGGGCAGTGAAGAAAATTGGGGCAAGTTTGTCCAACAACAGAGGGACATGAGGGCGATGAAGAGCGGGGAGCCAGGTGGAAAAAGGGTCCCAGCTTTCTCGCGCACCTCGCTCTTCTAGCTGGTTGAACTTCACGAGTCGTTTTCCGCAATCGCGGTGATACAAACAAAACAAGTCGGTAAGGTACCAAAAAGGAGACGCAAGAGCTGATGTAGATTTGACCGATCAGAGGCCTCCTGTCTGCGGTCACCTACAATTTGGGAGAGGTGCAGCAGAGTGTCTGCGGAGGGGGCGGGCACGTCTCTGCGTTCACTGCGACACCTTACGTAGATGACCTAGTTTCAAAGTATAAATCAGCCTTAAGAGTTGTCATAAAACAACTTTTTCTCATAATTTTAGGACTTTATTCTCTTAAAATTACAAATTTATTCTCGTTTTTTTTAAGACTTTATTCTCATTATTTTATCACTTTATTCTCAAAATAGAAGAAAAAAAAATCTCTAGATTTGCCCTAATACTCCTTCATATATATAGACTTCTTGCCCAATTACATTATCAACATTTGGTGAAGCAGGGGGAGCTAAAATCAAACGATATAGAAATGAATAGTATGTATAACACTAGATATCACAAGCATATAATGAGACATCTGTGCAGAGTCTTCACTTACGGCTGTTCCACTCCTGCGACGTGGTCCATTAAACCTTCTCCTGTTGTCGCTGACTGGTTTTGGTTTCGAGCTCTCCTCTTACTCCTCAAACCAAGGCATATAGACAACAGCAGCATGACAATCCCAACTCCAACGAGCACCAATGCCACCGATGAGGATTTGCTGCGATCTGTGTTGTCTTCTTCTTCATCATCATCAGGCTTAGTACCTAAGGAAGTGGAATTTGTAGAACCTGACAATGCATCCTCAGGTATCACAGTCCAGACTATCATGACGATCCCAAGGGCGATGAGTCCCACTCCCAGGGCACACAGGGCATAGTGGGCACCTGAACCTCTGGTTTCAGAGCTGGATCTGTTTGGACGGTTGTTGCCCCCACAAATACTTGGACTGGAACACATACTGGCAGCACAAACTGCTGTAGGAAACAAAAAAAAAGGTTGTTTAGAAGACATTAAAGATAATTCTTTCTAAAGTTATACCTAATCACATGATCTAAATGCCATCCAGATAAGGGGTTTTAAAATGAGTGTGGTGTGTCATTGGACAGGCTCTGATAACACTTCAAAGTGAGTCTTCTCCCCAATGAAGCAAATCTTACTAGCTGTAATTAATGTGTAACAGCTGGTATGTTATTAAAAGCAGGCATGGGTCTGCAACGAGCAGTCCCAGAACCACAGGTAACTCTCCAGACCTTCCTCAATGGATTTTAATGACTATTGAAAAAAAAAAAACTACATAGAGTAGACTAATAGTTTGAAATATAAAACAGATAAAGAATTTAATGGAATAATAGCAATATAATCATCTTATAGAGAAAATATTAC